GGCTGGTGCTTTTTCAAAATCCCCACACTTTTCGAAAATCCCCGATTCACCTCTGATTATCAAAAGCTTTATGGGTATTTGTAAAGATGTCTAAATTATGTACACATATTTGGTACTTAGTATTTTTGTTGTTTCTTGTTGTCCAGACTACTTGCATGGTATAAAAGATTCTGAGGTGCAGCGATGTAACAAGGTAAGATGACTAGCATTGCTGAGTGTGTAGTGGGGGTTATCCTCAGTATCTACTTGAAATGAGTACCCGGCGTCTTTGTATAATTGTGCTCCCTTTTTTTCCAGGCTGTAAATGTAACAAAAGCTCAAAATCATGGAGTGGTTCAGCACTTATCAGGTTCGGCGAAAGCACTTGATAGTGATGATACTGTCATTTACAGGGCTAACACAAGAGTTTCTTTGACCTGTCGAGTAGTAACAAAGGTTTGTAAAAATATTTTTAAGTTCTAGCTTCTTACAGAAATAAAACTAGCAACAGATGCAACGCCAAGATGAGTAGATCATTGAGTTAGGAGAATTACAACCACCCTGCAGTTTTGTAATATCTTACTATATTGATTTGTGCTAGATTGCACCACGAAAACCTCAATGATTTAACAATTTAAATGTAGCATAGTTAGATTTATCCATTCCTTTTCTTCATCTATGCATAGTTGATTTCCATGTATTTTATGCGGCCGGTATACTTTTTTCGTTGCCTTTGAGAATTTTGTAGGACTTTGTCTAATGGTGTATAGGGAAATTTTAGGTTTAATTATCTTTAGAATTATGAGGACTTGGTGGTATTTGTGCCATATGAACAGTAGCCAGGCAAAACAGTTATTGAATTGCCAGAGGTGAAACATGGTCTTAGTTATTACCCAAATTGATAAACTAAAATTTGACGAAACATGCCTAGGTTGAGTTAGTTAAAATAGCACGGTCTAGCCAGTTTTCGACTGATCATTCAAAAATAGCCAGCGTTTGTCAAGTTATTGAAAATAGCCACTATTTTGCTGTAACAGAGATCGGTTCAGCATAATATACTGGAGTTCTGTGCACTTGTGTATAAACTTCCAGCATATTATGCTGGACCGGTATACTTTGTTGGCTTCAGTATAATATACTGGAGACTGGAGCACCGGTGTTCCAAACTCCAGTATATTATGCTGGACCGGTATATTATACTGGAACTCCAGTATATTATGCTGGAGTATTTTTTCGGATTTTGAACAGTGTTTTTGTTCATATTTATCTCTACATGAAAAGTGACTAAAATTTTGATTACTTTTGAAACTGTGGTTATTTTTTAATGACCACTTGTACAACAACAACAACAACAACAACCCAGTGTAATCCCACAAGTGGGGTCTGGGGAGGGTAATATGTACGCAGACCTTACCTCTACCCCGAGGGGCAGAGAGGCTGTTTCTAGGAGACCCTCGGCTCAAAGAGGCAACAAGAGACACTATATTAGTACTATCAATAGACTCATAATAAAACAACATAAAATACCATAAAATCCATAACATAACATAAATACCAAAAAAAACAAAGTAACAGCAATATAAGAGATATAGGAAATACGAGAAAGATGTAAGGTATTAATACACAACAGATAAAGCCCATCATCAGTAGTTGATCAATAGCATCCTAAGACTAATTCCTAACTGGCTAGTCTCACTCTAGTGCGCTGTAAAAAAGACATCACAATTTCCCCTAACCTACAACCTTAATGCTCGATCTCCACAATTCCCTGTTTAGGGCCATGTCCTCAGTAACCCTAAGTCGCGCCATATCCTGCCTGATCACCTCTCCCCAATACTTCTTAGGTCCCCCCCTACCTCTCCTCGTGCCCACCACCGCCAGTCGTTCACACCTTCTCACCGGTGCATCAGTGTTCCTCCTCTGAATGTGCCCGAACCATCTGAGTCTTGCTTCCCGCATCTTGTCCTCCATGGTGGCCACACCCACATTCTCTCGAATATCTTCATTTCTAATCTTATCCTTCATTGTATGCCCGCACATCCACCTCAACATCCTCATCTCTGCAACTTTCATCCTCTGGATGTGTGAGATCTTCACCGGCCAACACTCGGTCTCATACAACATAGCAGGCCTAATCACTGCCCTATAAAATTTGGCTATTTTTGAATTTCTCCCGAGGTTTAAAATAGCACGGTCTAGCCAGTTTTCGGACTGGTCATTCAAAAATAGCCAGCGTTTGCCAAATCATTAAAAAATAGCCACTATTTTGCTGTAACAGAGACCGGTCCAGCATAATATACTGGAGTTCGGTGCACCTGTGTATGAACTTCCAGCCTGGACCGGTATACTTTGCTGGCTCCAGTATAATATACTGAAGACTGGAGCACTGGTGCTCCAAACTCCAGTATATTATGCTGGACCGGTATATTATACTGACTGGAGTTCCAGTATAATATACTAGAACTCCAGTATATTATGCTGGAGTATTTTTTCGAATTTTAAACAATGTTTTCGTTCAGATTTATCTTTATATGAAAAATGACTAAATTTTGATTACTTTTGAAATTGTAGCTATTTTTGAACGACCACTTGTAAATCTGGCTATTTTTAAATTTCTCCCAGAGGGGAGGAGGAGGGTATTACAAGAGGGGAATGAATCTTTTCCAACAAAGTGAAAATTTAGGTTGCCTGACTAACGGAAATATTATGCTTCCTATTCTGTTGTACTTGTATTTCACTGTGTGAAAAGAAATTTTTTTTCTAAAAGTATATGATTCGACCAGATTTCTTTTGAGATCTAAATGCAGTTTGCATACTGTACTAGCCTGAATTAATTTTTGACATCATCATCTCCACTTAAGCTTGCATAGGGTGCAGGAGCAAGTTTTCAGTTTATGAGGAGGTAAACCTAGTAAGAAGGTTTTTCATTAGTGATAGTATTTGTAGAAATATGAGAATAGGAAGTTTTAGCAGAAAGGTTAGCTCGTGTTATGTCTGTCAGCATGTGCTTGGGAAATCTTTTTCTTTCTTCATGGAACTACACCAAATAATCCTTAGTGATCTCCATGAAAGTTTGAGAAGGTGAGTTGCTAATATATAAATGTTTTGGAAAAAGAATACTAAGTGATTTTTTTCCATTTACTCAAACTTTGGTGAGCAAAATTATATGATTCTGATATTAGTAAGATGTAAATAATTGAGGTGCATCTAAACTGACTCAAACACCTCTATTTTAGAAAGAAAAAAAATGTTTGATAGTGAACATGTGATGGTGGTTTAAGAACAAAAATCTCATGTGATTATTTTGAATTGATTGTCCGGTAAGGTAAATGATGATAGGCTATAATTGTATATTTTAGTCGCTTATTACACTCTAAGTTACTGTATTTTAATTGAGTTTGAGCTTTAATCGTTAGTGTTTTGCACTAAATATGTGTTTTATGCCTTGTAGGAGTGATTCCGATCTATGTAGGCGTTATGGAATGAATTCAAGTAATTTGGAGCTTTGAGGTCTGAGTAAAAGCCCAAGACATTAAGCCGGGATCGTGTTCGGAGGTCGTGTACCAAGTCCGGATGTTAAAAGAGGACGAAATAAGTTCACTCTGAGAAAATTACACTGCCGCGCCGCATGGGACACCGCAAGGCGCGACGCAGCAGTGTAAAATGTTGCTTGATGCGAAATGTTGAGGCTGCTGATAAACTCCATTAGCACGCCGCATGACGCGGCGCAGGGTGCGGCGAGATTGTACAAAATTTATAGAGCCAGAGTCCTATTTCGCGCGGGAGAAGGTGTTTTCGTCTGGGCCCGACCCTACTTGGTATAAATACATATAAAAACGTTATTTTTTGAGGACTTTTGACAGATCTTAGACCTAGGGAGACTATTTTGGAGATAATTGACGTGGAGGAACACACATCACGCTTTGGAGGAGGGCTCCTAACTAGTTTTTCTTCTCTTTTCTTCTTTTAGTTTCATAGTCTATTAGTTCTAGAATTTTGGGTGCTACATGAACGTTGTAGTTTGAAGCTTGAATTGTTCTTATTATTTTATTATATTGGTTTATTTATTCAATCTTGCGCTTAATTATTTAATTGCTTGATCACCAATTGAATACTATCTACGAATCTAGGATTGAACTCGGGAGAGGGAATTCTAGATTGCATATAAGATTGAGTAGAGCAAGATCTTAACTCTGGNTTACTATAAGGGAATTATTGATGCGTTCTTGTTAATTCTAATTCCATAGGAATATAGGCATTAGATTAGCTTGAATAGGCGAGTTGTACTTCGGGAGAAGGCTACGAGCAATATTAACCCTGTCAACCAATAAACCAGATAAATTAATTAGATGATTTAAGTGAAAACTCAACGGGATTGTTAGCTAACCCATAGCTTTAGAATATTCACTCACATTGAATTCGTCTCTATAATTCGTCAACTTGTTTTTTTTAATCTCTTAATTTGTTACCCTAGATTAATTTTAGTAAAATATTCATACTTTAGGATTCACTTGAATAGATTAATTGTTTGGTAATTTAGTTGATAATTAATCACAAGTCCCTGTGGGTACGATATCTGGACTTACAATCATATATTACTTGTCGACCACGTATACTTGCGTGTGCGTTTGGGAGCAACAAGTTTTTGGCGTCGTTGCCCGGGACTTAGAAATTAACTAGTCTACTATTAGATTTTTACTGTTTGTTTATTCAAGTCTTTAAATTTTTATTGTAGTTTAATATTTGCTCTCTTTGTTGACATGTCATCTTGGAATGATAATTGGTCGAATATTGGTTATTCTTATTATGGTGATCCTTGTCCATATTGTGGAGGGCCACACTTAGGGCAAAATTGTGCATCTCAGTCCTATGTGTGGAATTTTTGTAATATGTGTGGTGGTCGAGGTGGCCATTGGGATGGTTGTCCTAATTCTTGTTATCCTTCTCAGGGTTCTTATTATAATGTTTCTAATAATGTTTATGAGTTTGATAGGAGCATGGAAGTGGAGGCTATGGAAAGCGTGACTCGTATTATGGACATGATGAGGCAAGTAGTCGAGCAACATGACATGATGATGAGGCAAGTAGCCGAGCAACAAGATGAAAATCGAAAGGCTATACAAAGAATTAGTGCAGCAATCATGAGAATGAAGACCGAGGTAGAGGAAGCGGATGAAGAGAGCGAGTTCCCACCATAAAATAATTTTGAAGAAGCAGATATGATGATCGAATCTTGGCTAGAGGAACAAGCTCAACTGATAAAATCTCATGAGTTTCTCCGCGATGGTCTTTCAAATATGACAAAACAGCTGATAGAAGGAAGAACTGAGCTCAGGCAAGAGATAGACCAATTTGGCTCAGATATCCATGACATGCAGGCTCAATTAAATAAAAAGGTTGAGGCGTCTGATGCACTACAACAAATTGTTGTGGACACTGGTTAACTTATGGAGCAAAAAGAGGAATCCCAACTATTCGACCAAATTATTCATGATACCAAGGTTAACGAAGAGTGCAAAATTGAGGATGTCAAAAATAATGCAATTTTGGAGCTGGAGCGTATTGGACCTCATTCTAAACACTTTTCAACATTGTGTTTGGTTGGTTACACGGGAATTGATCCAGTCGAGCATATGGAGGAGTCAATGGATGAGGAACAAAG